GGGAGATCAGCACTCGCTCCCCCCCCGCATTGCCCTGTAGCTGCCTTGCTTCGGGAGAACAGCATTCAGGGTCTCACGCTCCCTCTCTCCCCGTACCCCGCAGGGTAGCTGAAAAGGAGCCCATCAACAAAATGTCTCTCCACAATCTGGCCACAGTCTTCGGTCCGACACTGCTGAGACCCTCAGAGGGGGAGAGCAAGGGACACCTCACCCTGGCCTCCGACATCTGGTCCCACGATGTGATGGCCCAGGTAAGAGCCGTGCTGGCAGCGTGGGGCCGCAGCCTGTGCCAACACCGCTGGGGCGGGGAGCGGAGGGGTTTACCTGCCTGTCTGGGTAGGTTTGTCCCTCTTTGCTAGATGTGGCTGCACAGGCACAAGCTGGGACGTGGCAGCTTTGCCCCTTTTTTGGCCTAACAACCCTCCATTTGCCTACTACAGGTCCAAGTCCTTCTCTACTACCTGCAGCATCCTCCCATCTCCTTCACTGAGCTGAAACGCAACACACTTTACTTCTCCACGGACGTGTAGCCTGCAGGGAGAAGGCACCAGCTGCAAACACTCCCAGCTCCCTGCTGGGGGACATGGACTGGACCGCAGCCCCCCAGGGAGACCGGCCCGGACCCAGGACGGTGCCACCTGCAGCTCCTGTACAATCGCGTACCAGTGGCCCGGTCCCACCCCAGGTGCCGTGCCTCTCTGTAAAGTAGTCGTGTCTTATGTCCCTTCTTGTGTTCAAGAATTGTTTTTATGTATATTTGTTCAACGGAAGAGGTAGTGACTGACAAGGGCTGTGGACACAGGCTTCCCCCTTGGCTAGTTTTCTCCTGGACTCCTTTCTGCCCGCTCACTCCTACCAGGCACCCCTTGTCTCGCCCAGCTCGAAGCCTGCAGCATCCCACGAGTGCCTGTTTCGCTGCCCAGCTCCCTTGCCCCACGCCTGCATGCGCAGCACTGGCTCGCTTCAGAGGCTGGGAGCGCATGGGCTTCCCTCTTCGGTGACGACCAGCTTTGCTTTGGCTTGCTGCCTGCGCAAATGTTGGACCCGGTGCCTGGATCCTGTTCTGGCCCAAGCAAACCTGCAACCATGGGAGCAGAGGAGCAGGGTGCTGCTTCCTCCTTGCCACGTCTCTTCTGGGTGCTTTCAGGCCAGTCCCCTCTACAGCCCTTAATCTGTGCTTTGCCTGTGTGTGTGTAGCATGGCGGTTACTTCCCTCGCTGTTTCTCGCCTCCGAGTAGCGTTTTGGGGTAACCCATCACACAAGGCTGGAGCGAGAGGTGCTGTGCTGGTCTCGATCCACAGCAGGCTTGAGGGATGGCCAGCTGGGCAGGTCCCCTCCCTCCGCTACGGGCTGACTCCAGGTCTGTGCTCTGGCACCGACGGGGTCCCACTGGGGCAGGCGCGTCCCACAACTTCCCCAACTAGCCCTGGCAGGGCAGGGAACAGCGTCCCCGCCGTTTCCGTATACCCGTATCTCTGCCGTAGCAAGGCACGCACGAGCGAGGCGCGCATGCCGCTGCTAGCCCAGCACTACTGCAAGGGTTGCCGATGCTGGCTGCGCCCCATGGCAGAGC